AATTTAATATATTTCCCCAAATGTGTATAAGCATCCTGGTGATAAGGATCCCAAGTGGTGAATAAAAAGAAAAGTCTTAAGTTTTAGAAGATTGAAATAATAAAATGTATTGAAATCAATGAGAAAACTTGTAGGCCTAAAGGAATTTGCATTGCTCAACTTCAGGAAGAATGCTGGGAAAATAAAAGGAGAATTTGTGTATTCCCCATCATCCATTGCTTCAAGTGGAATTGGAAAGTACTTGCAAGAAAGAGATGAAGATAAAGACTCCATGCTAAGTAATAACAAGTGTAGTTGGATAGCACTTTGCATTCTCCAGTCTCATTAGAAACCATGCAAGAAGCTTCTTCTTGAGAGGAGAAAACTGGCAAAAGAACTAAACTGGATTTCTATTTTAAGCCTATTTAGAGGGCAAAAAATCAGAACTAGAGAACCACAGTAATCCACTTCTGCTGTCACAACATTTCAGTCATAGGATGGTGATGCTCTTCTTACCTTCAAATCACACTCATTTCCAACAAATCATATTTGAACCTTGGCTATTCTCCAGGGGAAGTTAACCATCTCAAGTCTACATGGCAAATATAAAACAGCTGTATGGCAAAAGGAGTCCTGGTGTGGTGCTGTAGGATAAGCACTGGACCCCAAGGTTGGTTTGAACCACAATATCTGCAGTTCAAACTCACCAGCCATTCTTTGGAAACCCTAGACAGGGCTGCTATGAGTTGGAACCAACTAGACAGCACTTAACAAAAACAACATATGGCAAAAGACAGAATGAAGGGAATTAAAAAGTAAATGACACACTTGTCATGAAATACGTGACAAAGAGTTAAAATTCTTATAATGTATAGAAAATTCTTACAAATCAATAAGAAAAAAATGAGCATTCAATAAAAATGATATTTGAAGTAAATGGATACTTTCTCAAACAAGTTACAACTTATTCTGTATTTTTCCTGTAATGCATTATGTTTTTATCTGAAGGAGAAAGCAAGAAATAAAGTGATAAAAAAAATGATCAAAGGTTATAAAAAGAAAATGAAGGAATACAGAGGAAAATAATATGAAATGATGGGTCAATTTTATCAGTGATGAAATGCAAATTAAAATTGTTGTACTGTAAAGTTGATTATAATTCATAGCCACTCTGATACCAGTAAAACTTCCCAATAGGCATTTCTAGGCTGTAATCTTTACAATATTTTGCCATATTCAATATTGTAAGTTGAGGCCTGAATTTTTTCAATTCTTTCAGCTTGAGAAATGTTGAGTGTGTTATTCCTTTTTGGTTTACTAACTCCAGGTCTTTGCACATTTCATTATAATATTTGACTTTGTCCTCTTGAGCTTGAAATTTTCTGTTCAGCCTCATTTCTTGTATTTGCTTTAATACCTGTAGAGTAAGTTTCACAGTCTCTTCTGACATCATTGTCTTGTCTTCTTAATGACCTTTTGCTTTTTTCCTGTATGATGTTTTTGATGTCATCCCGCAACTCCTCTGGTCTCCAGCATTAGTGTCTAATGCATCAAATCTGTTCTTGAGATGATCTCTAAATTCAGGTGGGATATGTTCAAAGTCATAATTTGGCTTTCGTGGACTTTGATTTCTCTCAGCTTCAGCCTGAATTTGCACATAAGCAATTGATGGTCTGGTCCACAGTCTGCCTCTGGCCTTGTTTTGACTGATGATACGATATGGAGCGTTTCCATTGTTGCTTTCCACAAAACTAGTCCATTTGCTTTCTATGTATTCCATCTGATGAGGTTCCCATTGTTAGAAATGAATCCCGATGTCGTATAAAAGACACTTGGTGAGACTAAATTACCTTGGCAAAGCAAAATTTACTCCTGCAAGAGGGTGCGTGCACATAGCCGTACATCAGGAACAGGCCAGCGGAGCACACCAAGTGGGCAGTGCACTAGGGATTTTAATCCCTGACACGAGTCTCAAGGCTGTGTCTCACCCCATTGGCTAGGGTTTTGACTGCACAATCTTTTTCCTTACCCGGTGGCTAGTTCAAATTTTTAAGGCGTGCATTCCTACTTTAAGAAAAGAAACAGAGAGCAATCATAAATTCTTTACTCCAGAAAGTAGTTAAAAGAAAAGAGAATGATCATAAATTCTTCATTCACTTCAGGAAGTAACCAAAGAAAAAGAGAGAGATCATGAAGTCTTTACTTCAGGAAATTAAAAAAAGGTTATTTGAATACAATAAATGGGATTATAATAAATATATTTTTCCCCACACTATGTATAGTCATCTTTTATATTACATAGTTTAAAAAAAGGTATTTGCAATGAAGAAGTCATTGGTCTTCTAAAATTTTATCATGCAATCTGTAGCATCATTTTTATCACCACAGCCATATTTTTTGACAGATCCTTCCTCTTTGTTTTCAACCTTTGCATTCCAATCACCAGTAATTATTAATACATTTGAATTGCATGTTTGATCAATTTGAGACTGAAGAAGTTTGTAGAATTCTTCAATTTCATCAACACTGGATTTAGTGGTTGGGGCATAAATCTGAATAATCATTGCTACGCTTGAGCCCACTGCTGCTGCCATTCTGTCAGTCCATCTCGTTGAGGTTCTTCCTCTTTTTCATTGACCCTCCACTTTATTAAGCATGATGCATTACTTTTCTCACTGTAAAGAAAACAAAAATCCTTACAATTGAACCAATAAATAACATTATGTTAAATGGAGAAAAGGTTGAAGTCATCAAAGGCTTCATTTTGCTTGGATCCACAATCAACACTCATACAAGCAGCAGCCAAGAAAGAAAGTAAACTTTGTATTGCATTAGGCAAATCTACTGCAAAAGACCTCTATAAAGTGTTTAAGAGCAAAGATATCAGTATGAGTACTAAAGTGCACCTGATCCAAACCATGGTGTTTTCAATAGCCTCATATGCATGTGAAAGTTGAACAATGAATAAGAAAGACCCTAGAAGAATTGATGTGTTTGAGTTATGGTGTTGGAATAGTTAAAAGTACCACAGACTGCCAGAAAAACAAATCTGTTTTGGAAGAATACAGCCAGAATGTTCCTTAGAAGTCAAGATGACCAGACTTCATCTCTCATACTTCAGACATATTAGTCAGGAGGGACCAGTCCCTGGAAAAGGACATTGTCTGGTCCTTACAATTCCTGGAGATCCCCCTCAAAGAGATGGACTGACACTGTGCCAATCCATCTTGTTGGAGACCCCCAATGAGATGGATTGGCACAGTGTCAGTTGACAATAGGCTCAAAAATAACAAAAAATATGAGATTCGCGCAGGACCAGCCAGTGTTTTGTTCTGTTGTGCATAAGGTCTATGTGAGTAGAAACCAACTCAAGGGCACCTAACCACAACAATCTTTATCAGATAGCATTACCGGGTGTTTTATCTCCAGAAACTACTTGTGAATTTCAACCGTGGACTTTTTTGGTTACCAGCCATGCACTTAACCACTGCATCAACCAACCAAAAACAAACTCACTGATGCTGATGATGACACAGTAGAGCTGTCTCACAGAGTTGGTAAGGTTGAAATCTTTATGGAAACAGATGGCAGCATCCATCTCCCTCTAAATGGCTGGTGACTTGGAGAAAACCCTTTGTTTACCAGTCAAGTATTTTAACCACTGCACCTCCAGTGCTTCTGTTGCAGCAACATGGGTCTTTAAAATTTAAATTGGGTATAGTTTTTAAGTTAGTAAATTGTGAAATAATTTTTCAAACTTATAAAATAGAGGTCCAGTAATTATTTGGGAATTTATTTAAAGGGAATTAATGGAAATAGAGCTTAAAACATTGTACAACTATGTTTATTATAGAGTTGTTTATTAGGTTTAAATAATTTTTAATTCTTTAGTATAAATTAAGACATGTATTCTTTCATTTAGCAGTTTGACTAGAATCTGTTGTTAAACAAAAGTTGGTGGTTTTTTTTTAACTTTTTATTGTGAATTGAGTGAAAGTTTACAGAGCAAAAAATCAGTTTTACATTCACCAAATCATACGCTTTGTTTCATTTCCCCATCTTAATTTGCAATAAGATTCAGTTACATCAACATTATTTGTTGTTAAGTGCCATGGATTCATTCCTGTCCTACTCTTAAGACCTTTACAGGGAGCAGAAAGCCTCATCTTTCTGTTGGTAAGTCTAGTGCTTATCCTACGAGCCACTGCGCTTGCCCTTGTTTTCATCGTAGTTAAGCCCTTGTTTTCATCATAGTTAAGTGCCGTCAAGTCGGTTCCGACTCATAATAACCTAGGATAGGGTTTCCAAGGAGCGGATGGTAGGTTTAAACAACTGACCTTGAGGTTTAAACTGACCTTGCAGTCCAGCGCATTAACCCGCAGCGCCACACCAGGACTCCAAGCGTTAGAGGTTGAAGACTAGCCTGAAAAGCCAATCAGCATATTTTACGGAGCTACTTTAGCTAGGTTTTGTATTTTGCCAACAACCTTTTAATTTACAAACGCTGCTAGACCAGCCAGGCCGAAAATGCGAGTGACTGAGGGGCTGGGGGACACAAAATCAACTTGTTTTTGAATCCATTTACAAGGCCGAGTTTCTAACCTTTAATGCAGCATTTGCAAGCCTCGGCTCCCACACCCTTTTTGAAGACCGAAAACAAGAGAGTCCTAACAGGATCTACAGCCAATAGCAAACATCGGCTCTAATATCTCGAAGCCAATGGACGGAGGACTATCTTTTGAGCCGCTACTGTTCTTTCCCAGCCAATGGGAAACATTGTTCAAATGCCTCTCTCTGAGATGCGCAGACTCTAGGGAAGACAGGTTTGTTTCCGGGAGGCCGCCAAGGGCGGCAACCCAGGTTGCCATAGCGACCGTTTTACGTTAACCGGTTTGTAGCTTTCGCCCAAGGTTTGGACGACTGCTGGGCAGCTCTAACCTTAGTCCCGGGAAGCTCCCCCTATTCCTTTTTGATTACTGCGGCCGAAAGGCCTGTCAGGCTCGGGGGGTCTAGTCTGGAGCGGGATGGCTGCGGAAGAAGAGGAGGAGGTGGAGTGGGTGGTGGAGAGCATCGCAGGCTTTCTACGAGGCCCGGACTGGTCCATCCCCATCTTGGACTTTGTGGAGCAGAAATGTGAAGGTAAAAAACAGATCTTGAACCGGTAATCCTTTCTCGTCTCCTCTCACAGTCATAATCGGCAGGGGGATGATCAACACAAACCATCTCATCTTCACCCCTCGCCCCCAATTTTGTCTCCCGCATTTAGAGCTAGATTTGTAGGAGGAATAGATTTCACTTGTCTTTACAGAACTGAAATGGACACCGAGATTCTTCTGCTCCCAAGCTCCAATACACATCTGAAAATACCCTAATCCTATGAACGGCGTTTTACCCCTTCCTGCTCTTTTCAGCACCGGGTGGACTGTTTGGCATGGGCTTCTTAAACTACTCTCTTAGTGAGTTGGGAAGCCTCTGAGATCCTTCAAATCCCTAATATTTCGCCCTACGTAGTTGTTAAGTGCCGACTCACAGTGACTCTGTACAGGATTTCCAAGGAGCGGCTGGTGAGTTTGAACCGCCGACCTTACGGTTCAAACGACTTTTAGGAAATGAGAAATTAATTTGTGCCAAATAAGCAATTAATGAGAAGGTGGGCTTGTGATCACCTCCAAGTTGCTTGTATTCACTTTATTGAGATTTCTTATGGTTGGTTATGCCCCCAAATGGGGAGTACCTTCTAACAAAGTATATTGTCATTATTATTGTTAAATGCTTGGAATCGGTCCCAATTTATAGTGACCCTGTATAGGGTTTCCAAGGAGTGGCTGGTGGGTTTGAACCGCCAAACTTGTGGTTCAAACCGAGCTTGCGGCCCAGTGCATTATTCCACAGCGCTATGTAATTTTCCACGTAAGGGAGGGCACCTCCGGTGTTCATCAGTTTACCTTGGAGTGTTGCGTTGAGTCTTAGAAGTAAATTGGATTCCGTTCAAGTAAAAGAAATAAAAAATTGCTGTCATATTGATGAGTTATTGTTGTTAAGTGCCATTGAGGCGGTTCTGACTAATAGCGACCCTATGGAGCGTTTCCGAGGAGCAGCTGGTGAGTTTGAACTGCCAGCCTTGTTTTTCGCAGCCCAGTGCTGATCCTACAGCTCCATACCAAAAGTTTCCAGGCACTAGCAGTGCTTTATGAGTGGGTCTGACAGTTACTCATTGGGGATGTTAAACAGGAGATCAGCTGTCACATGGTTGATTATTCTGGATGACCATTTTAAGAGCCCTTTTCAGTCCTATCAGTTCCATGAGGAGCCCTGGTGTGGCGCTGCGGGTTAATGCACTGGACTGCAAGGGCAGTTTGAACTCCAAGGGCCGTTGTTCAAACTCACTAGCTCCTAGGAAACCTTATACAGGGTCGCTATGAACAGACTCGATGGTACTTAACAACAACAATTCCATGAATGTGGTAGAGATGAAATTTAGTGCCCAGTCAGCATTCCAATACTAGTTACTAAGTATCATTTTTAAAGAAGTCCAAAAACAATTATTTTTATTATATTCTTTTTAAGAATTTAAAATGCTATTATGAGACTGATTAAGTGCAAGGATTCTGACTCTTTTAGGAGGAAGAAGAAATTATGCCACCTTTTGAAACCATTTGCTCCTCTGAGGTTAAATGGTAAAATGGAAAAAACAAAACTATTCTTTTTATTTCCAAACACCTGAAATAGTTATATCTCAGTAATAACATATCTGATTAATTGTGTAATTTTATAAGGATGTAATGGAACAGAAAGTTGCAGTAATGGCTATATTACAGCTAGTTGTTGTTGTTGTTAAGTGCCATTGAGTCAGTTCTGACCCATAGTGACCCTGTATAGGGTTTCTGAGGAGCAGCTGGTGAGCTTGAACAGGTAACCTTGCAGTTCAAATGGCTTTGCAGTCTGGCGCATTAACCCACAGCACCACACGAGAACTCCGTGTATCACCTTAAATGAAGATGCTAGCAGAAATGAAAGTAACATGTCAGTGATACTTAGAATAACAGTTTTTACTTTAAACTGACTTTGTGTTGCCAGCATGCTGTTTTGTACCTCATATAATTTAAAGATTTTGGGTTTATACAACTTTGTTATATTTCAACAAATACCGAATGTATACTATATATGATTCCTTGGGCCAGAAGTTGGCAATAGAAAGATGAACAGACTAGTCTTTGTGTTTGAGAAGATTATAGTCTAGAGGGGAAGATAGGCAGGTAAACATAATTTAAATATAAAATGTTAGGTACAGGGTTGGTGGTTCAAACCCTCCAGAATCTCTTGGTAACATGGCCAATGTACATGGGATGAAATCTCAACATCCTTGCTTCTAAGGAATATTCTGGCTGTACTGTTTTCAAGACAGATTTGCTCATTTCTGTGACAGTCCATGGTATATTCATTATTCTTCACCAACACTGCAAATCAGATTTATCAATTTTTCTTTAGTTTTCCTGATTCATTGCTCATCCATTTTATGCATATGAAGCAAATGCAAATACCACAGCTTGCTCCAGGTGCCCCTTAGTCTTCAAAGTGAGATTTTTGCTTTCAAACATTTAAAATAAGGAATAAAGAATTCTTGTGCATATGAGCACTAGAACCAAAACCTAAGAACATCCAAAAAGTCTTGTCTTGAACAGTTCTTAAAAGTCTGAGGAATGAACAATTCGGAATATTTACTAGATAGTAGATAAAGCAAGTGACTGAATGTACAAAATAACATCTCACTTCACTGCTACCTGCAGTGGATGAATAATAAAAAGTTAAAAATTAAAATATCTCTTACAGTTTTTATCAGAAATCAATTCTCAGAATATGGGAAGAAAATCACCATGGCAGCTATTTATAAGAAGTTTTTTAAGCAGTACCTAAATATAGCGTGTTTGATAATATTAAGTTGTTGTTGTTGTTAAGTGCCATTGAGTAGGCTCTGACCCATAGCGACCCTGAACAGGGTTTCCGAGGCTGTAAATCTTTATAGGAGCAGAAAGCCTCATCTTTCTCCTGTGGAGCAGCTGGTAGTTTCGAATTGCTAACCTTGTGGTTCTAAACTTGCCCAGTGAAATAGGCCTTATGCAAAGCATTTACAGAGTGGAAAGCCTTAGGTGGAATCCTGAGTCCCATCCAGAACCTCATGAGGTGCGACATTCCCACTAGCAAGGGCAAGCAGACCAGCCTGGAACAGCTAGAGTGACAGAAGATACATCTTCAAAGAAAGATCATCAGAAAAAACCCAAAACAAAAATGTCAGCATGACTGGCTACTACAAGAATAAGCAAGTTGTTCACCAGGAAGACATCAAGGCAAGCAATCGAGTTCCTTCAGGACAAATGCCCCTCTAAGACTGAAACTCAAAGGGGGACCAGACAAACAGGCATGTAAGCTTGTTGGCAACCACATTGGTCTACTGGTGAGTGGAAGAGGGGGAAAGGCAGCAATGAAGAAATGGGCTGAGTTCAACCTCAGTCCATTGACTCCCGTTGACCTGGAGATGAGAGAGAAAAGAGGAAGGGCTGGTTGGTCCAATGTATGGTGAGACCTGAGGATACTTGAGCCCATGGACAAGGACATAGCCACAGAGGATTAGAGCTGAGAGTGAAACATCCACCTGATATGAAGTGAGGGGAGATGCGCAAGAACACCCAAACTTGCATATAGTACCCATTTGACCTTGCTTCGATGGTTTGATAATCAGAACTTGACTAGAGAAGATTGTTGTTGTTGTTGTTAGGTGCCATCAAGTCGGCACTGACTCATAGCGACCTTGTGCACAGCAGAGCGAAACAATGTCTGATCCTGGGCCAACCTCACTACTGTTGTCACACTTGAGTCCATAGATGCTGCCACCTGGCCAATCCATCTCATTGGGGGTCTTCCTCTTTTCCTCTGACCCTCCATCTTACCAAACATGATATCTTTCTCCAGCGACTGTTCCCTCCTGACAGTATGTCCAAAGTATGGCCAAAGAGAGACAAAGTTTGGCCATCTTGGCCTCTAAGGAGCACTCTGGCTGCACTTCTTCCAAAACAGATCTATTGGTTCTTTTGGCAGCCCATGGCACTTTTAGTATTCTCCTCCAACACCACAATTCAAAGGTATCGATTCTTCTACAATCTTCCTTATTCACTGTCCGGGTTTCGCATCCATATGAGGTTATTGAAAATACCATGGCTTGGGATCAGGCGCCCCTTAGTCCTTAAGCTGACATCTCTGCTCTTCAACACTTTAAAAAGTTCCTGTGCAGCAGATTTGCCTAATACAATACATCGTCTGATCTCTTGACTGCTGCTTCCACGAGTGTTGACAGTTGATCCAAGAAGAATGAAGTCCTTGACAACTTCAATCTTTTCTCCGTTGATAAGAATGTTGTTTATTGGTCTAGTGGTGAGGATTTTTGTTTTCTTGACATTGAGATGTAATCCATGTTGAAGGCTGTGCTCTTTGATCTTTATCAGTAAATGTTTTAAGCCCTCTTCACTTTCAGCAAGCAAGGTTGTATCATCTGCATATCGCAGGTTGTTAATGAGTCTTCCTCCAATTCTGATGCCACATTTTTCTTCATATAATCCAGCTCAGCATACAGGTTGAATAAGTATGGTGAAAGAGGAGATTACAACACCAAAAAAAATTTTTTTTTATAAAGGAAACAAGGGTAAATTGGTACAATTTGATGAACCTCATCTATTCTCATGGAGGTAGTAACTCTAAATATCAACAGAGGGGAAGAAGTCTTCACATCAAGTATCAGTGCTATCCCTCTGTACGCAGGGTAGATAGGGACGGGCAATTTAGACATTGGCTACCTAAAATGAGGGGGTGATAAAGGCACAAAGTGACTGGCTTACAAGGTTTCAATAGGGAGTTTAGTTTAAAAGTATGGGGGAAAAGAAAAAGTTGCCACTGAATAGATTTCATCTTGTCTAGATGGGTCTGGTGAAAAGAGATGGGGATGAGATTCATATGTTTCAATAGTGAATAATTGTTATAATGACTAATTGTGACTGTCACAATTGTAAAGGTAGAAATTTTGTAACAAAAACAAGGGAGTGGTTACTCTTATAGTACAGAAACAGAGGACCTTGGACCATCTAGGGAGAAGAGCACAAACAGAATGCAGTACCTTATCCAGAGAAGCAGCAACGCCAGAGACGGAGGCAGAGATGGGGTCATGGAGAGGGGGTGCGGCTTAGGACTCTAGATTCATGGGAAGGAAAGGAACTAAGAGCTGGTGGCCAGGAGGCCGACTTGCAGAATGCGCCCTTTGGAGGTATAAATTATTATATATGCCTGAGTGTTGTTGTATTTGTTTGTTTGTTTTATAAAAAAGCTAAAGTGGATAGAGAGAAATATTATTAACTGATGGTACATGGAGGACATTATAATCATTGTAATGAAACAAGGTTTCATTTGTTGAATGATTTGTTGAATGTAAAACTGATGATCTGCCCTGTAAACTTTCACTCCATCCACAATAAAAACTTAAAAAAATCAAAAGGGCAACACTTTCCTAAAGACAAAGTTGAGAAGGGACAGATAGGAAGGTGGTGTTGTTAAGTGCTGTCAAGTCGGTTCTGACTCAGCGACCCTGCACAAGGTTTTCGAGGCTGTAAATCTTTACAGGAGCAGAAAGCCTCATCTTTCTGCCACGAAGCTGCTGGTAGCTTTGAACTGCTGACCTTGAGGTTAGCAGCCCGATTCATAACCATAACACCTACACTACCAGAGCTCCTTAGATAGGAAGGTGAGTGGAATGTAAACAGGAACCACAGGGAGGAAGCAGGGTAACTGTTGTTGCGTGGAGGGGATTGTAATCATTGAGATGAACCCAAGTGTATGATTTGTTGAATATAAAGCTGATGATTTTGCCTGTAAACTTTCACTCAATTCACAATAAAAAGTTCAAATAAATAAATAAATGTTTGCAACAATGGCCAAAAAAAAAAAAAAAGATTATTATCATCACATTTCATTTTTAAATACTTAGGATAATGTTAATAGTTTTATTTACAGTATAAAAATCTAGTAGCATCCTGGGAAGTATAGGAGACAAGGGGAGGAAGTGTTTCTCTGTTAAAGCTAATATTATATCATCTGAATGTACACGTTTATCATGACCTTTAGTATCACTGTAAGGATCCCTGATAGCATAGTGGATTACGAGCTGGACCACTACTGTAACGTCAACAGTTTGATTCTGCCAGTTGCTCCATGGGAACAAGCTGAGGCGTCTGCTCCTGTGAAGATTTAAGCCTCAGGCTTTAATTTACCATAACCAAACTATACATTTTGTAAAGGAAATTGAAACCCATGGTCTGATGTTGAGAACGAATATTATCTAAGATGACTGACTAGTAGTAGCACATGTACTCATCATAAGCCCAAGAATTCTGCCTTTCTAACAAAGAGATCTTGGAAAATTGACTATCAATTCTCAACCTATTTTCCACGAACTGTGGATTTACAAAATGGTAGCTGTCACACAAATTTTTAAATATAGCTAGCTACATTTTCAGATGTCCTTTTTATTTAAGGATATTGAAAAAACCCACAAAACCAAGAATTTAAAGCTGAAGAACTGGACTTTAAGAATGATTGTTCTATTTGTAAGGGGTAGATTTTATATTTTGCATTAGCAACTTTTTTCTTTTTTTACACTGTGCACTATTTTCTTTTAAATTTAGTTTTTGATGATGAAGAGGAAAGCAAATTGACTTATACAGAGATTCATCAGGAATACAAAGAATTGGTAAGTTGTGTTGTTTTTTTTTTCACTGATAAGGATATTACTTTTAGCTTTTTTCAATTAATAATAGGACTTTTCCATTATAATTATTTCATTTTATAAAAAAGTCAAACATACCCTCAATTCCAGTTAACTAGAGCTTCAAGAGGGTTCTCTGAGCATCTCATTCTTACGGTTTATCTCTTCTCTAGAATATAAGCAATGGATTTTTACATTATTATTAAATTTCTTTTGTTCTTGTTTACGGTAACCACAGCAAAACACAGACCAGTTCAACAAGGAATTAGTTTTTGGAAATGATTTTAAGGGCTCTTGCCTCTAATCTCCAAATTTTATTCATATTCTTTTGCTGATGCGTTCAGGAAGTATTCATTATTCGTTCAGCCCCTGATTGTCTTGTGATTTTTAAAATGCCTCTGGGCAGCTAAAAAGCTAGGCCACATTGACCTTTATAATCCTCACTTACATTATTTTTAGTAAAGGAAATAAAATTGTGGGAAATTATGTGATTTTTCTATAAAATATCTGAATTTTTTGTTTGCTGTCCTCTGAAAAACAGTATCATTGCCAGATAATATAATATGTAGATTAATAATTGCAAACAAGCATTTGATTATACTTTATTATAATAATATTATATTGATTATAAGCTAGATACAGGAGTTCTGGTGTGGTACTATAGGGTAAGCGCTGAACTACTAACCACAGAGTTGGCAGTTCAAACCCACCAGCCACTCCTCAGCAACGCCATACAGAGTCCATACCAACTTGACAGCAGTAAACAACAACAAGCTAGATACAAAGGAGCTTTGTGGCTTTTTGGTTAAAGTCATCTGCTGCTAACCAAAAAGGTTGATGATGTGGACCCAGCAGCCACTCCACGGGAGAAAGCTGTAACAGCCTGTGGGTATAGAGATTTGCAGCTCTGGGTACTGTGTGGGGCTGTTCTACTCTGTCCTATAGACTAAACTATGAGATGGAATCAACTAGATGGCAGTGGCTTTGGGGGCTTAAGTTAGACATGTAATGTGAAAATCTTCATTTGAGGTTTTACTGTATTTATTATAAAAGTTAAACTTTTTCTTGGTAGGTTGAAAAGCTGCTAGAAAGTTATCTCAAAGAGATTGGAATTAATGAAGACCAATTTCAAGAAGCATGCACTTCTCCTCTTGCAAAGACTCACACATCACAGGTTTTTGCTTTTGTGCTATTCTGCTAACATTTAACAGAAATGCGTGGGTTTCACTTAAATGTATAAATTTGTCATCCACACTTTTGTCATCCAGGTATGTAGAGTTGCATGGATAGTCCAAGTACAATATTTTAGACATTGTGGAGGTAAACAAAGAGATAACCCATCCCATTTGGATTCATTTTAGAACCACTTTAAGAAATAATAATCTAAGGTATTAATTACAAATGAACGTCCTAAACTCAGAGTTACAATAGTATCACAGGGCTTATTCAAACTACTATTATTTATTTGATAATTGTGTAGTTAATTATTTTTTAAATTTTAGTAGATCTGTGATCCATAGTTCCTTGAGTCCTTATGTAGACGTATACATAGGTGTTACATATACTTATAACTTTTTTATTGTTATTATTGAGGGTTTGTACTAGCTACTGCTTTAGACACTTGGCATATATTATCTCATTTAATCTTTCTAGAACCCCTTAGAAAACTGGCACTATGTTATTCCTACTTAGCGATGAGGAATCTAAAACACTGTATCAAAGTCCACAATTCAGTAAACAGGAGAGCCAGGATACTAGCCTAGGTAATCCAACTGAGAGTTCACATGCAGAGGTTACTCCAGGTAGACACCAAATCACAAATATGTATTGGTTTCCCATCTTCTCTCAAATAAACTGTAATTCTTGACCAGGATGATAGTCAGCATTGTTTATGACCTGCCTGCAAATTAAAAATGGTTGCAACAGTAATCAACAGATAACTGCCAGAAATTCAAGCCAGATTCAGAAGAGGAAGTGGAACTAGGGATATGATTGCTGACATCAAATGGATCTTGGCTGAAAGGAGAGAATACCAAAAAGTTGTTTACTTGTGCTTTACTGACTATGCAAAAGCATTTGACTATGTAGATCATGACAAACTATGTATAACATTGTAAAGAATGGGAATTCCAAAATAAGACCCTGTTTACTGGTCAGAAAGAGATTGGAGGAATCTGAGACTATGGCCATCAACCATCCTTCAGGTCTGGAAAGAACTCATCATCGTGGCCCAATTTTCAGCAAAACAGTAAATAGGTATATGGGAAGGATACCAGTACTGGTAAGGTATGTTCACCTGGCATGGTCACTCACTCAAAATCAAAAGGGCAACATTTACCTAAGGACGAAATTGAGAAGAGATGGGAAGGTGGGTGGAATGGTAATGGGAACCACAGCGAGGAAATGGACTAAGTGTTGTTTCATGGAGGGGTCTGCAGTCATTGAGGTGAAACAAGTGTATGATTTGTTGAATGTGAAACTGATGATCTTGTTTACAAACCAACGCTCAATTCACAGTAAAAACTTAAAAAAAAAAAAAAAAGAATAGGCATTCCACTTAATTGTGTGTGCTCATGAGGAACCTATATATAGACCAAGAGGTAGTTGTTAAAATAGAACAAGGGGATAGTGAATGGTTTAAAGTCAGGAAAGCTCTGTACCATGGGTGTTTCTTTTCACCATACTTACTATACCTGTATGTAGAGCAATAATATAAGAATCTGGATTATATGAAGAAGAATATGGCATCAGAATTGCAGGAAGACTCAGTAACAAGCTATGATATGCAGATGATACAACCTTGCTTAATGAAAACTAAGAGGACTTAAAATACTTGACTGGTAAGACTATAACTTTCAGTATGAATTGCATCTCAATGTAAAGAAAACAAAAGTCCTCACAACTGAACCAGTAAATAACATCATGATAAATTGAGAAAAGACAGAATTTGTCGAAGACTTCATCTTCCTTGGATCCAGTCAACACCCATGGAAGCTATAGTTAAGAAATCAAATGATGTGTTCGGCAAATCTGTTGAAAAATACTTCTTTAGTGTTAAACAGCAAAGAAATCCCTTTGAGGACTAAGGTGGTGGTGGTGTGCTGTGGCGTTGGTTCCAACTCATAGGGACCCTGTACAGGGTTTCTGAGGCTGTAAATTTGTACGGGAGCAGAAAGCCTTATCTTTCACCTGCGAAACAGCTGGTAGTTTCAAACTGCTGACCTTGCAGTTCACAGCCCGATTCATAACCACTATGCTACCAGAGCTCCTTGAGGACTAAGGGAGCCTACTCAATTCATGGTATTTTCAATTGCCTCGACAATGAATAAGGGAAACTGTAGATGATTCGGTGCATTTGAGTTACGGTGTAGGGAAGAATATTAAAGGTACGGCATAGACTGCCAGAAGAACAAACACATCTTTATTGAAAGAAATACAACCAGAATGCTCTTTAAAAGCAAAGATGGCCAGACTTGTCTCTCATACTTCAGACATATGATCAGGAGGGACCAGTGGCTGGAGAATGACATCATGCTTGTTGAAATGGACAGACAACGAAAAAGAGAGTGACTCCAATGTGTTAGATTGGCACAGTGGCAGCAACAATGGACACAAGCTTAGCAACAGTTGTGAGGATGTCGGAGGACCAGGCAGTGTTTCATTCTGTTGTATATGAGTCTCTCTGGTCAGAAATGACTCAATGGCACCTAACAACAGCAACCAGCAATGTGAGAGGATCCCAGTCTCTCCACACCCAGCATTTGTTGTTTTTTAACTTTGCTATTAATGCTTGTGTGAGATGATGCCTCATTTATGTTTTGATTTGCATCTTTCTAATGTGAAAGATTTTATTTTGCTCGGATCAACCATCAATATTCATGGAAGCAGCAGTCAAGAAATAAAATGAAGTATTGCATTACGTAAATCTGCTGCACAAGACCTCTTTAAAGTGTTCAAGAGCAAAGATGTCAGTTAGAGGATTAAGGCGGCCTGACCCAAACCGTGATATTTTCAATAGCCTCATATGAATGTGGAAGTTAGTGAATAAGGAAGACTATAGAAGAATCGATGCATTTGAGTTATGGTGTTGGAGGAGGATATTAAGTAATGTGGAATACCAAAAGAACAAACCAGTCTGTGTTGGAAGAAGTACAACCAGAATGCTCCGTAGAAGTCAGGATGGCTGTCTCTCATAATTCAGACATCTTGCCAGGAGGGACCAGTCCAGGACATTATGATTATGTTTGGTAAAGTGGAAGGTGAGCGAAAAAGAGGAAGACCCTCAACGAGATGGACTTGCAAAGTGGCAGCAGCAGTGGACTCAACTGTAGCAACAATTGTGAGATTGGTGCGGGACAGGGCAATGTTTTGTTCTGTTGTGCATAGGATCACTACGGGTCAGTACTGACTCAACAGCACCTAACAGAAACAATGTCTAATGATCGTGAACATTTCTTCATGTTTGTTGGCTGCCTGAATGCCTTCTTTAGTGACGTGTCCATGTTCTGTTCCCATTTTTTAATTGGGTTACTTGTCTTTTTCTTGTTGAAGTGTTGTTGTTAAGTGCTGTCAAGTCAATTCTGACTCATAAGGACCCTGTATAGGGGTTCTGAGGAGCAGCTGGTGGGTTTCAACCACTGACCTTGTGGTTCGAAGTCCATTGCTGATCCTACAGTGTCACACCAGTCCAGAGGTGTTATCTGATGTGTCAATGCAGAAACAAAAATGTCTTATTGTGAATTATGTGATACTTTACATGGGAGAACAGTAGCTTTACATTCATTCTATCGTATATCATTTCAATGCCATGGTTACAATCTCCTCTGTGCATCATCAACCAACCAAAGGGTATACCCTGCAAGACTCCCCCCACTCCCCCGGTCATCAGGACACAGCCCCTCTCCCTCTCTGGGTCTAGAGTCCCTAGCAGCTCTATTTCTCCACGCCAGCTTCTCTGCCTCCATCTTTGGTGTCACTGTCTCTCTGGGCAGAGTCCTACACTCTGCTATTCTCCCTTGATGGTCCCAGGGACCTCTGCTCCTGGACTGCAAAGTCAATCACTTCCCTCCTTTTGCTACAAAACATCTACCTTTACATTTCCAACCCTCACAGTCAGTCCTGATAGTAATTGTTCATTATTGTACCATGAGTGCTATCCCCGTCTTCTTTCATCAGCCCTGCCTAGACAGATTGGATACTACTCAGTGGAAATTCTAGCTTCCTCCACACCCTCTGGATCTAGGCTCCCTCTTGAAAGCTTGTAAGCCAGTCACTTCTTGCCCTTGTAGGGCCTCCCTCCGCCCCCCCGCCCCCATTTTGGGTAGCCTTTTTTACTCTATTGGCGAAATCTTTTGATGCACTTAAGTGTCTTAATTTTCACGAGGTCCCAGTCATCTATGTAGTCTTCTGCTATTTGTGTGTTTATAGTAATGTTTGGTAGTGTGTTTATGCCATGTATTAGAGCCCCTAAGTTTGTCCCTGTTTTTTCATTGATCTTTAGTTCTAGGCTTCACGTTTAGGTCTTTAACCCATGTTGAGTTTGATTTTGTATATGGTGTGAGATAGAGTTTTGTTTCATTCTTCTGCAAATAGATTTCCAGTTTTGCCAGCACCATTTGTTGAAGAGACTATGTCTTCCCCATTTAATCTGTTTTGTCCCTTTATCAAAGATCAGTTGACTGATTGTATGTGGATGGATTTACTTCTAGGTTCTCAATTCTGTTCCACTTATCTGTGTTTGTTTTTTTGTTTGTTTGTTGTTAATGTTGTGAATTATATCATAGTTTACATGGGAGAACATTAGTTTTACATTCATCCTATCGTATATTGTTTCATTGCCATGGTTACAATCCCCTCCGTGCATCATCAACCAACCAAAGGATATGCACTACAAGCTTGCCCCCCAGTCGTCAGCACACAGCCCCTCTCCCTCTCTGTGTCTCAAGTCCTCAACTGCTCCATCTCTCCACGTCATTATCTCTGCCTCCATCTTAGGCATCACTGCTTCTCTGGATAGGGTCCTACTCTCTGCTCTTCTCCCTTGATGGTCCCAGGGTTATCTGTGTATTTTTCATTGTACCAGTACCAGGCTGGTTTCACCACTGAGGTTGTCTAGTAAATTTTGAGCTCAGGGACTAAGAGGTCTCCAACTTTGATAAATAGATTTTTTTTGGTTGAAGAACAAATCCAGTTACAGGAGTAGTAATCTTTAAAAAATGAGATTTTGGGGTTGCTGTTGGGAGTAGTCATTCAGCACTGGCTCACTGAGAACCTGTATCACTGTCAGCCTTAGTTTCCTGGAGGTATGGGGTGTGAAACCCAACATCTTGAAAACTGATTTTAAAGGCTTTTAAAATACAATCATAAAATGTTTATTTTTGAGTAATCAATAATAGTGCAGCATTCTTGATTTAATACATAGTTTGCATTGCAAATGCTATGAATGTGTGGGAAATAGATTAAAAAAAAAAAAAAAAAGCTGGAGTCTTCATTTAAACTATAGATTTCTTTCTACAGGCCATTTTACAACCTGTGCTGGCAGCAGAAGATTTTAGTATCTTTAAAGCAATGATGGTCCAGAAAAACATTGAAATGCAGCTACAAGCCATTCGGATAATTCAAGAGAGAAATGGTAAAATGTTAAAGTTTTGCATTATAGAGTATTCAAATTTGAATACAGCCTTACATATAGCTCTGTCTAGTGAAAGTCTCTTGTCTAATTTATGAGATTACAGAGAAAAACTTGTTGTCTTGTGTGCTGTGACACCTGACAGAAAGCAGACCAGAACTTAACTGAATATGTTGTAGGTTTCAGAGCCTGATAATACTGCCAGTCCTTTGTTTATGAAATGCCGTAAATCTGAGCTTTCATAGTTAACAAGTACTGTGGAGAAAAGGTGACTCCTTTCTCCTTCTACCTCATTCTAGTTAGGGCTTTGTAGGGTGCAATCAATCAGCACTGGACTGCTATCCACAAGGTCAGCTCTTCAAACCCTACACAGAGTTGCTGTGAGTCAGAACCTACTAGATGCTACCTAACAACAAGAAGCAGTAACTCTTACACTTTTGTGAGCATCCAAAGCCCTTGGGAGGCTTGTGGAAACATGCATTAATGTCCTCCACGTTTTTTTGATAACAGTAGATCTGAGTTGTTGTTGTGCCGTCGAATAGAGTTTCTTGGGAGCGGCTGGTGAGTTTGAATCGTCGTCAACCTTGCGGTTCAAACCAGCCTTCTGGTTGAGTGTTTATCCTACAGCACCATACCAGGAATCCAGGTCTGGGTTGGGGCCCTCACAACTTGCATTTTTGACAAATTCCCAGATAACACTAAGCAACTGAGAACCACTGTTACAAGTTAGTGTGACCAGATGTAGTTGAATCAGTATCAGGTGGAGAAGAAAAGAACCGAAAGTCCTCGTAACTCCTTGACTCCTTCTTTTCCCTAACCTCTGCTTAGTCAGTTTCTCTCCAGCTGTTCCTCCTTTTGTTCTTATTTACCTCCTTTGACCTTCTGACTTCAGCACCTGAGTGTCTGCCCAGACTGCTTGTTACTGTACCGTCTTCTCCTCACTCAGATTCTTATCTTTTTTTCAGATTTCCAACTCCTGTAACTTGACCATAATTCCTGTGTTCTTTTGCTCAGTAGATTGCCACTGATCTTCTCTACCACTCTGTAACCTAATGGTTTGACAGGAGAACTGTCCCTTTAATTGGTCTTGCAGATATAAGCGCTATAATTCAATTGTATTATTTGCTCTGTGGAACATGCAACAACACTTATGTTGTTGTAGGGCAAACGTTAGACTGTTGCAGGGCCTTGTAAATTCTTCTGAAATTTATCTGATGTGAATAGAAACTATTTTTTAGAACCAACCACCATAACCATTCCCCCCAGTCCTGAGAAACTTCCATGGCAGGTAGGAGAGCTGTTGTTTGTGGATAGGATGCCACCACTTTAGTCCCAAAGAATGTATGACGCACAGCTGTTATGTTGGTGTAAGTCTGATAGCTATTTCTTTATCTTTATACCGTGGCTTATGTTGTAAAACCCTTTCTTCTGAATTTTTTGAAACGGTTTTTTTTCCTCACGTGTGGGAGAAAGGACTTGAATAACCGTCTTACATAGATTACATTTGTTTTCAGGGGATGGCATTGACACGATATAGGTTTTACCTTGCAATTTAACTGGAAGCTCATTTGTATTTTACCAGAAAGCTTAAAAATTCATATAGCTGGATGCTTCAAGCTGTGAACAGTAGAAAACCCCAATGGCATAAGCAATAAGAAATGATTACGTCACAGAGCAGGAAGTCCAGAGGAAGTCCAGAGGAAGGGAGGGAAGGAAGACAGGCCCAGGGTTGAGTTATTCAGTGGCTCGATGGTGTTATCAAGGACCCTGACACTTCCTGTCTCCCTACTCTGCCCTTCTCAGGATCTGTCATGATTGTACTCTGGCTGTGTCAAATTTAGACTCAACAGTGTCTCATGAGGAAAAGGAATGTTTCCTCCTGTACATCTCAAATGCTTAGCAAGATAACACTTTAATGGAAGTCCCCAGGAGGTTTCCCTCAGGTACTACTGATCAGGATCAGGGTCACACAGCCTTCTTTAGTCATCTGGCAGGGGAAATGAGACCATTATGCTTGGGTTAATCCAATCCTGAACCACTCTGTGGACCAGAGGTACCCTCGTAAGTATTTGGTAGCCTGATAACTGCACCAAATGTGGCAGATCTTTAGCAAGGGAGTACAGTGGTAGTGGCTGCTGATAAACCACGGGGTGGGATAATTTACTTCCATTTAAAAGTCAACTGAATTTCAGTTATTAATACTTATATTTAAGAATGTTGCTTAAGTCCGATTCAGAGAAAGTACGTTAAAGCTGTGTTGATTGTTCTTAAAATTTGCTTTGTGGTGAGAAAGCGCCAAGATGCTCTGCATTCTTGGATATTGTGTCTTATCAAAGAAATGTGGGACAATGCAAATCAGGGCATTATTTTTATAGCTTTGAAGTATTACATACTGTTGCATGGTTCTTCCATGAGTACTTTAAATTTCCTTAGAGAGACTATTAGGGGAATACTAATTTTATATCTTACGACTGAGCAAAAATGCACTAAGATTAGTAGATTGTAATAATGTTTCTTGGTTGTGATAATGTGCCATAGGTTTGTAGGATGTTACCATTGGGGAAAACTGGGTAAAGGATATATAGGATTTCTCTATTATATTTTTACAACTCTTATGACTCTGTTATCTCAAAATAAAAAGTTTAATTAAAGAATGTATTTAAACATCAAGGGGCTCAGTATAATAGAGCTACTTTAATTGAGAGCAGATCTAACATTGCCAAAGTCACATGGCAGGTAAAGAAATGGAAGGTAAAAATTGCTAAGCCTTGCTGCTGATAACTCTGGGAATGTTATAATGATACATATGAACCGAACATTTATTACCAGCCTGTCTGCTTATCAGGACCATAGTGGGCACTTAAAATGACTTGCCCTGGACTGCGGCAGGTTTTCCCCTGGTTTGTAGTTATTAAACCGGTAACTGAACTGAAGTTTCGGAAGCGAAGATTGTTTTATTCATCTTTATATCCCCTAAAGAGCCTGGCACCATGCTTTCTTTGTATGTAGTAAACCCTTTGGAAAAGTAGTTGCTATATGAATTAAGAGTAGCCACATGCTGTCTCATTTAGCTAAGTATTTTATCTTTTAGTTTAAAACTTTTTTCTCACTTAAAGCAGGCCTTTATGGGCATAGTGTTATTATTAACCTGAGTTTATTCTAAGGCCGTCTATAACAACAACAGCTGCACTGTGATTATGGAAGACAGTGGCTCGTATTAATTAATCTATCACACCATATAGTATGATTGTTACTTTAAATAGATAATACAAAGAATTACTATGAGACACTTCTGGGTAAAATGGTGGTGGTTTTTTTTTAGGGATGATTCTTTAAAACAAAAATAATCCCAGTAATTTGTACATGTTGACAAACTCTAATAGTGAGAAAAAACTGTTTTCCCTTGAATTGACATTCTTCCATGTGGTCTTTGGTTCTGAACAGGTGTGTTACCTGACTGTTTGACAGATGGTTCAGATGTGGTCAGTGACCTTGAACAGGAAGAAATGAAAATCCTGAGGGAAGTTCTTAGGTACTGTTCTTTCATTTTTTATTAGAACGAACTATTTTTGTTGTTAAGTGCTGTGGAGTAGTAGGGTCTGACTCATAGCAACCCTGTGTAGGGTTTCCGAGGAACGTCTGGTGAGTTTGAACCACTGACCTTGTGGTTCAAACCAACTATCCAGTTCAAACTAACTTTGTGGTTCAGTCTTTATCCTACAGTGCACCACTAGGACTGCCGGTGAACTATTAGTAATATTTTAATATGATCTGTATGTATGTGCTTTTTACCCAAAAATTATTATGAACCAATAAAATATGTAAATTATATACTAAAGACCATGAAAATCATTTGAATTTTATTTATGTATGACTCTGTATATACGAGGAGGCTTTCAAAGGGTCATGGAAAAATTCTGTTATCTTTTAATTCAATTTTTTCATAAACTTTTTGAAAACCCCCTTGTATTAGGAGTACCTTAGTGTCTCAAATGGGTAAGTGCTCAGCTACTAACAAAGACTGGCAGTTCAGGTCTACCCAGAACTGCCTCAAAAGAAAAGCCTAGTAATCTACTTCTGAAAGGCTGTTGTTAAGTGCTGTTGAGTCAGTTCCACCTCATAGAGACCCTGTATCAGGTTTCCAAGGAGCAACTGGTGAATTAGAACCACAAACCTTGCAGTCCAGTACATTAACCCACAGCACCATACCCATTGCTAAACCTAGGGAACATAGGTCTACTCTGAAACATATGAGATTGCTATGAATTGGATAGAATCAATTTGGCAACTGGTTTTATAAATAAAATTTCTTAATCAGTAGAAAACATTATATTCAGATGACTCATTGAAAGATTCTCTGGGCAATTATTGAATGATGCAGAAAGCATCAAGAGAAGATGGAAGGAATACACAGAGTCACTGTACCAAAAGGAAATGGTTAATGTTCAGCCGTTTCAAGAGGTACCATATGACCAAGAGCCAATGATACTGAAGGAGGAAGTCCAAGGTGCATTGAAGGAATTGGCAGAGAACAAGGCACCAG